TCAAGGAGCAGTCCCAGACTTGAAGGATCCCGACCAAGTTGCTGGCATCAGGAGAGGCCTCTGCCGCCTTGGAGGGCATCAGGGACACTGCCACAGCATGGCCCAAGCGGAGGACCTTGCACCCCACCTCCCCGGCCACCGCAGCCTTCTCCCCGCCCTCCCTGCTGCCCCCTGCTGCCCATTCCCTGCTCAGCAGCCAGAGTGATGAGTTTTCATCACAGCTCAAAGTCTGACACTCTGAATGGCTGCCCATAACAGAGAACAAAGACCAATCCCTTACCACATCTATCCCAGGGTGGTGCAAGGTGAATGCACCCAGCTGCTGACTGAAAGGTTAGAGGTTCAAGTCCACCCAGAGGCACCTTGGAAGAAAGGCCTGGCAATCTACTTCTGAAAACTCAAGCCATTGAAAACCCTGTGGAGCACAGTTCTTACTCTGACACACATGGAGTCACCAGAAGTCCGGGTCGACTTAATGGCAACTGGTAGCGGTTTGCGATCAGCTGCTAGCCCAAAGGTTGGCGGTTTGAACCTCCCCAGCAGCACTGCGGAAGAAAAGCCTGGTGATCTGCTTCCGTTAAGATGACAGCAAAGAAAACCCTATGGAGCACAGTTCTACTCTATAACACATGGGGTCGCCATGAGTTGGGGGCCAACTCGGCAGCAACTAACAAGTCACATGCTGACTGCTCAGATCCCTGGCAGCTTCCATGGCCTCGCCTCCTTCCTCCCACTCCAGCCCACTGGCCTCCTTGCTTCCTCACGGCACAGCCCTGCCCCAGCCCCTTTGCACTGGCTGTGCTGTGTGCTTGGGATGCTGTTCCTGGACATTCACGTGGCTTGCTCTCACCTCTTCCAGGTCTCGGTTCAAATGTTGAAGCTGTTCCTCAGCTCTTCCCACCACAGGCGCCCAGCACCCTCGCCTGCTCCCTGCTTCGTTTCCGCCTCACAGCACTCACCACGACCAGGCACTGTGGTGTGTTTGTTTGTTCGCTGCCAAGTGGCCTGGCCGCCCCATGAGGCAAGGTCGTCACAGCTGTAACGCCCTGCTTCTCAACCAGGGGCAACTGTGCACCCCCAGGACACCTGGCGATGGGCGGGGACATTTTTGGTTGGCGTGACTGGGGGGAAAGGATCCAGCCCTGTGCCAGCAGTGGGTGCCGAGGGGGAGGGATCCTGATCACAGCAAATAGGGAGGAGGGAGAGAGATTGCCACCGAGGGATATTCAGCAATGTCCGGGGACATTTTTTTTTTACAACTGGGTAGTGTTACTGGCATGGAGTGGGTGGAGGCCAGGGATGCTTCTCAACACCCTACAGTGCACAGGACGGCCCACCCCAGAGAAGGATCCGGCCCCATCGTCAGCAGTGCCGAGGTTGAATAAAATAACTGCTATAGCCTCATGCCTAGAACGGGCCTTGGCACACAGTAGGCGCTCAATAAGGAGCCCTGGTGGTGCAATGGTTGAGCGCTGGGCTGCTAACCAAAAGGTGGTAGCTGAAACTCACCCAGTGGCTTCACGGAAGAAAGACTCAGAGATGTGCTCTCATAAAGATGACAGTCAGAAGATCCTATGGGGCGGTTCTTTCAGTCACGGGGTCACTGTGAGTTGGAATCGACTCAGCAGTAACTAACAACAGCAACAACAGGCACTCGATAAATACGTCCATGGACACATGGGAGGACGAGCCCCAGAGCTGCGTGAACTGAGGCTAGGACAGACCACGGCCAGGGCCTGCCCTGCCTCTAGGGGCTTTGAAGAGGACGGAAGCCCCTCAGCCCTTGTCCGATGCAGTTAACTCCCTGCCTAAAAGTACACCCTCTACCATTGACTCCTGCACCTGTCTACTTGCGGGAGCCCAGGCCACCAGGCAGAGAAAGGCCACGGGAGCAGCTGCAGGGGAGCCCGTGCCTGTTCCTGGGACGGAAGGCAGGAAGGTGCAGAGAGGGACAAAGTCTGAGCCAAGCTCTTCCAGAGGGGCAGTGCGGGAGCGGAAGGAGCAAGCGCAGGACAACTGGCACATTAGACAGACGGTGAAGCTGGACAGGGAGGCTGGGCCAGCCCTGCCCTGCCAAGGCCCCAGTGTCTGTTGTGCAAGGCCTGGATTTAAATGGCCAAAGGGTGGAAAATACGTTTCATGAGCAAAATGACAAAAGCATGTGTGGATTTTTCCTATGGCATTGTTCAGGATAAGAAACATGCATGTCAGGATAGGGGCAGTCAATGTACCCCTCAGAAAGAATACAGAACAGCAAAATACTACTCTGCAATAAAATATATATAAGGAACAGTACCAGTCCACTCGACAGCAGACAGGCTTCAAACACATTATACTTCCTCAAAAAGTTCAACACAGAATTACTGTATAAGCCAGCAATTCCGCTCCTAGGTACATACCCAAAAGAACTGAAAGCAGGGACTCAAACAGATACTGTAAACCAACGTTCATCGCTGCACTACTCACAATCACCAGAAGGTGGAAACAACCCAAGGTGAATGGACAAGCAAAATGTGATCCCATCCATACCATGGAACATTACTCAGCTGTGAAGGGAAACGAAGTTCTGATACGCGCCGCAACATGGATGAACCTTGAAAACACACTCAGTGAAATAAGCCAGACATAAAAGGGTGCATATTGTATAATCCTACTTATATGAAATATCTGGAATAGGCAAACTCATAGAGACCAAAGTTTATTAGTGGTTACCAGTGGCAGGGGGAAGGGAAAAGGGGACTCACTGCTTAGGGGCACTGAGCTTCCGTTAGGGGTGACAGAAACATTTGGAGACGAGAGTGGTGATTGTTGCACAGCATGATGAAAGTAGTCAATGTCATGGAATTGTACATGTAAAATGTGTTGACATGGCAAATGGTTTGTTATATGTGTGTACATACCCCTCGATGGTACCTGTTGCTGTGGAGTCAATTCCAACCCATAGCAACTGTACAGGACAGAGTAGAACCGCTCCATAGGGTTTCCAAGGAGCAGCTGGTGGATCTGAACTGCCGACCTTTTGGTTAGCAGTCAAGCTCTTAACCACTGTGCCACCAGGGCTCCGTGTGTGTGTGCGCGTGTGTGTGTGCGTGTGTGTGTATGTGTGTGTGTATAAATATGTATGTATCTATATGCTCACAATAAAAAAAGTAAATTTTTAAAAAGTGGTTAAAATGATAAATGTTTTATGCACACGACGTGGAAGAAGTCTGACTCAAAAGACTGCAGAGTGTATAATTCCATACGTATGAAGTTTCTAGAAAAGGCAAACCAAGAGAGACAAAAAGCAGAGTAGGGCTGCCTGGGGGTGGAGATGAGAAGGATGAAATGCAAATGAGCCCCCGGGAACCTTTGGTGGGGATGGCAGTGCTTAAATCTGCACCGTGATGGTGGTCATACAACTGTATACATTTACTTCTTGTTGGGTGCCGTCGAGTCGATTTCGACTCAGGGCAACTCCATGTGACAGAGGAGAGCCACCCCAAAGGGTTTCCTAGGCTGTAATCTTTACGGGAGCAGATCGTCAGGTCTTTCTCCTATGGAGCTACTGGTGGGTTCGAACCACCAACCTTTCAGTTAGCAGCCTAGTGCTTAATCATTATACCACCAGGGCTCCTTATATACATTTACTACAACTCATCAAATAGTGCCCTGAGAATCGGTAGATTGTGACATGTAAATTATATCTCAGTAATCTCAATTTAGAAGCTGTACTTTTAAGTACTCATATGCAAAAAATTTTTAAAAAACTGAAAGGTAGCTTGGGGAGGTAGGCAATAAAGGATCATGGAAGCTTTTCAGATACTGACACGGATCACTCATGGAGATATACTGTCAATTATAGAAACAAGGTAGACCAGGACTTGGTAAACTGTTTCTGGAAAGGGCCAGAAGTAAATATTTTCGGCTTTGTGAGCAACACGGTCTCTGTCATGACCACTCAACTTTGCCGTTACAGCACAAAAGCAGCCACACACAATATATAAACAAATGGGCGTGGCTGTGTGCCAATAAAACTTTATTTACAAAAACAGGCAAGGGGCCAGATTTGGGCCCACAGACTGTAGTTCACTGACTCCTGATGTAGCGTACCCTTATTTGTGTTTTATTTATTTGTGCATGTATGTGTGTATGTGTGTGTATGCGTGCCTGAGTGTATGTACACATACATAGATACACTTGTTTACACACAGAATGTCCCTGGAAGGAAGAAACCGGTAACAGTGATGCCTCCAGAAATAGGAACTGGGTGGCCAGGAGACAGGGAAGCAGGGATAATACTCGCTGTGCAATCATTGGTACTTTCGGAATTTTGAACCATCTGAACGTATTCCCTATTCACCAGAATTGAAACAACAAACAAAATAAAAAAAAGAAGCTTGAACACCTCGCCTGCCGGGCACTGCTCCTGGGCGGGGGTGTGAGGTGCTCAGACACGTCTCAGGAAGATGCCTAGCACCCTGAGATAATCTTTAAACCTTAAACCAAAACTATCTTCTGCCATCTTCTTAAAACCAGACAAACAGTAGTTTGGCTTAACTAGTAAAGAATGTCTGCCTTGAGCATTGTGCTTTTTAAGATCTATATGGGATCAGAGTGACAAGAGCAACTCGAAAGGTTAGACAGGAAGCTTAGGGGGCAGTGAGCTTATGCTAATCAGGGAGGAACAATTTGGAAAAGGAAGGTGAGAATGTTGTACAACTCGAGGAATGTTATCAATGTCTCTGAACTGTATTCGGAGAACCTGCTGACCTGGTGTCTGTTCTGCTGCATACATTCTCAACAACAAACAACGAGAAGAAAAGAAGGGAGGAAAGATGACCCGCAGCGAGCAGGAAGGAAAGCGGGGCGCCAGAGGGGAGGCCGGGAGGCCGGGGCAGAGGCTGTGGCAACGGGCCAACCCAGGAGGGCCTCGCACAGTCTCAGAGCTGGCCTGAGGCCCCGGGAGGGGATGGGAACAGGAAGGACGGTGGCCCAGTGGCGTCCACTCTCTGGCTCACCCGAGCATGACGTTGGCATACAGCTCCCGCGCAGTCCTGGTCTCACGTTTCCGCAGGATCTCGGCGTCGTACCAGAAGCCGCGCTCCTTGGGGTTGTCGGGGTTGTAGTTGAGCATGACCACCTGGCCGGCCTCCAGCTCCTGCCACGGGAGGATGGTGCGGGCGCGCGCCCTGACGTCCCGGGAGCTCATCTGGACCACGCCGTTCTCCGGGTAGCTGAGAAGAGCCCACCATGTCCGTCACCAGGAGAGCCAACGGCAAGGGGAACGGCAAAGGCCACGGTGACAGAGGTCTCACACAGCACGGGGCGGGATGGTCTTCGTCACCACGGGACCCGGTCCCTTCCCCGACCATCTCGCGTGCCGGCGAGGTGTCCAAAACAGTGGTGTGAACACTTAACGCACTCAGCTGGTAACCACAAAATTGGCGAATCAAGTCCACCCAGAGGCACCTCGGAAGAAAGGCCCTCCGAAAAATCAGCCACAGTACTACTCTGACACATGGGGTTGTCATGAGTCGGATTTGATTCCACAGCAACTGTCTGACCCCCTGGGTAGTATAAATGGTTCACACACTCAGCCGCTAACTAAAAGGTTAAGGTTCAAATCCACCCCGAGGTGTCTCAAAAGAAAGACCTGGCAATCCAGTGCTGAGAGATCACAGCCATCGAAAGCCCTATGGAGCACAGTTCTACTCCAACACACGAGGGGTCGCCATGAGGCAGAATCGACTAGACAGCAACGGATTTTTTAAGATGGACAGATTAGACAGATATGGAGGTAGGGAGGTAGACAGGGAAGTAAGTAGATAAGCTCTCAGAACTAAGCCTCACGTTGCCAGGCACTTTTCCAGGCATAGGGACTCAGCAGGGAACCAGATTAAGACCCTGGGCCCCCTAGGATGTAAGCTCTACATAGACAGGCATGTTTGCTCTCTGTGTTCGCCAGTGTGTACGCTCCAGGCCCACCGTGGGGCCTGGCTCACAATTTAAAAAAAAACTGTTGCTGCCGAGTCAATTCCAACTCACGGCGATCCCATGTGTTACAGACTAGAACTGTGCTCCACAGGGTTTTCTTGGCTGTTACCTGCACAGAAGCAGATTGCCAGGCCTTTCTTCCACAGCACCATTAAAACCAAAACCATTGCCATCGAGTTGATCCCGACTCATAGCGACCCTATAGGACAGAGTAGAACTGCCCCATAAGGTTTCCAAGGAGCAGTTGGTGGATTTGAACTGCCAGCCTTTTGGTTAGCAGCTGAGCTCTTAACCACTGTGCCACCAGGGCTCCTACAGCACTGTTGAGTGGGTTCAAACTGCCGATCTTTAAGTTAATAGCCAGGCACAAACCATTTGTGCCACCCAAACCTCGGCACACAGTAGGTACTCAGTAAATATTTGCACAGTGAGTGGACCTTGACATTCCAGTAGAGGAGAGGGACACCAGATCTAAGATGACTTCATGTGGTAATAAGTGGTACAAATAAGACAGGAAAATTGGGGGCGGGGGTCGTGATTCAGGCTGGGTGACGAGGACCAAGTTCCCTGGGACCAAGGAGGAGCCGGCATTGCTTTGGGCCAGCACGCTGCTCCTCCAGGGGGTGGCCTTGTGGGTTGTTTGGGGACACGAAAGGCAGGGTACCCAGACGCTCCTCATCACCCCCAAGACGGTACTAAACTCCAGGCCTGGAGGCACTGAGCCAACGACACTTTGCAGAGACGGCGTGTCCCCAGGAGTCGACACAAGCCCCTGGCCCAGCGACACTCACTCGTCGTATTTCACGTGGTAGATGACATCGTCCTCCAGGGCCGGGCTGGAGGTGGAGCTGCAGGGCTCGTCCTGCGAGGGTCCCTTCCTGGTCACCCTGACCACCTGCGCCTCGAACCACGCGCCCATGTTCGTGTCCCGAGCGTCGATGTATTCGTTGACCTGCAACCCAGGCAAGGAACATGGTTCAGCAAAATTGACACGGGCTCGTCCTGGTCCTCGGGCCTGAGGGCCCCAGACCACCGGGCTGGGGGTGGGGATGGTGCTCAGGGCTGGGTGCAAACTCAACCGTCTACAACAGGGCTTCTCAGCCTGCACACTGCTGACATGGAGGCCGGGTCTTTCTCTGGGGCGGGGCCATCCTGTGCACTGTGGGGTGCCGAGCAGCATCCCTGGCCTCCACCCACTCAATGCCAGCAGCACCCCTCCCAGTCATGACAACCACAAATGTCCCCAGACATGGCCCAGTGTCCCCTGGGGGCAGAATCGTCCCTGGGTGAGGACCCTGGGTTAGGGGCTTCCACTGACCACCCCAAGAGACTCTACGCCCCATAATCATCTGACCTACTGACATCCTAGGATGCTGCCCACGTTTAAATCCACACACCGAGCGGGGAGGAGAAAGGAGGGGAATCACAGGAGCTGGAGGGTCTCCCTGGTTTATACTGGCTAATCCATCAAGAATTTATTCTGATGTATGGTGTGAGTTAGGGATTGAACCCAATTTTTCCAAATAACTAACATAGGGTCTCTCTCCCTCGGCACTGCTGGCATGGGGACCAGATTGTTCTCTGGGGTGGGGCATCCTGTGCACTCTAGGGTGCTGAGCAGCATCCCTGGCCTCCACCCACTCGATACCAGGAGCGCCCCCCTCCCAGTCATGACAACCAAATGTCTCCAAACATGGCCCGGTGTCCGGGAACGGGGAGGGGGGTGTCAAATGGTCCCCAGGGTGAGAACCCCTGGCCTATAAGAAAAAGTAAAGAGGGAATTAGGTACTGTCATTGAATTTGTACATGTGAAGAATGTTGAAGTAGCAAACAATTTGTTAAATATGTATTTAAACCACCCACCCACTGCCATCAAGTGGATTCTGACTCATAGCAACCCCATGTGACAGAGCCAGAACTGCCCCATAGGGTTTACAAGACACACCTTTCTCCCGCAGAGTGGATGGTGGGTTCGAACCGTCGACTTTTTTGGTTAACAGCCAAGTGCTTAACCACTATACTACCAGGGCTCCTTCGTATTTACCACGATTTAAGAAAAAATAACTTTTTTAAAAAAGAATCAAAGGAAGACCATGCCTCTGAAAATTATTTCTCGTGGTTAAATACTTGCAACCTTAAGTGTCCATCATGGGGAGCTGGGGAAATGAATGACAGTGGGGTCATTCAGTGGAATTCTGTTGTCACTGGAATGGGGTAGACTGCTATCCGCTAACAGGACAAGATCTTCACCATTTATTAAGTGAAAAAAAACCAAGCCTCATAGATCAGAAAAAGGAGCCCTAGTGAGCAACAGTTAAACACTTGGCTGTTAACCAAAAGGTTGGTGGTTTAAAGCTACCCAGTGGCTCCAGCTCCGAGGGAGAAAGACCTGGCAATCTGCTTCTGTAAAGATTATTGTTGCTGCTAGGTGCCATCGAGTTGTTTCCAACTCACGGCCACCCCATGTGACAGAGGAGAACTGCTCTATAGGGTTTTCTAGGCTGCAACCTTTATGGGAACAGACGGCCAGGTCTTTTCTCCTGTAAAGATTATAGCCTAGAAAACCCCATGCGGCGGCTCTACTTTTGTCATATGGGGTCACCACGAGTCAAAAATCAACGAAAGCACCCAACAACAACAATGTATGCCCTGAAAAGGAATTTTTAGAAAAAGCAGGAAGCAGGCCCCCCAAGGCCAGCGGGAGACTGGAGGACAGGCACATTATCTTAACCGAGGCCTCTGCCGCTCAGCTCCAGCCACACTGCTGAGCAGGGGCAGCGGCCCAGGGAGGCCAGAACTGCCCAGTTTTCAGGAGAAGCTAGACACCTGGATCTCTACGTGGCATTTCCTTATTCTTAGGTGGTGACAGTGAATTCAAGTATTTTACAGCGACAGTAAAGGCCAAAGAGAAGACATCTGCTGGCCCCTGACACAGAACTTTGCCTTCCAGGGTCACAGAAGAACCCCTAGATACCAACATGACACCCACATTCACTGCAGCACTGCTCACAGGTGGCGACCACCCAAGTGACCCTCACAGATGAGTGCATTAACACAATGGGATCCATCTGTACAGCGGACTACTACTCAGCCATAAAGAGAAATGAGGTTCTAATACGTGCCACCCCAGGGTTGAACCTTGAAAACTTTTATGCTGAATGAAATCAGTCACAAAGGGACAAATATTATGTGACCCCACTTGTACGAAGCGTCTAGAATGCTGGCATACAGGCAAATGCATAGAGACAGAAAGTAGATTAGTGCTTGCCTAAGGGCAGGGGAGTTCTCGGGTCTGCACATGATTACGCCCTTGGCTACTAACTGAAAGGTTGGTAGTTTGAATCCACCCAGAGGCACCTCAGAAGAAAGGCCTGGTGATCTATTTCCAAAAAAATCCATCATTGAAAATCCTATGAAGCACAGCTCTAGTCTGACACACGTGGGGTCGCCGTGAGTCAGAGTCAACTCTATGGCAATAGGTTCTGTGTTTTGCTTTTTTAGGGGCTGGGGGAAGGGTAACCAGCAGTGACTGCAATGAGTATGGGGTATCTACAGAGGGAGAAAAAAATGCCCTAAACTGCACTGTGAGGATGGCCACACAACTCAGTGAACTTAGCAAAAATCCCTGAACTGTACACTTTAAAAGGGTGAATTTTATGGTGTGTGAATTAAACGACAATAAATGGGCCTGTATTTTAAATTGGGGAGGGGTGGAATCAGGAGGAGGGGACTGACTGCTCAATGGGTACCAGTTACCAGCTGCTGTCAAGTCGACTCTGACTCATGGCGCCCCCATGCATGGCAGAGTGGAGCTATGCTCCATAGTGTTGGCAATGGCTGCTTTCACACAACCAGATCTCCAGGGCTTTCTTCCAAGGCACCTCTGGGTAGACTCAAACCTCCAACCTTTTGGTTAGCAGCTAAGCATGTTAACCATTTACACTACCTAGGGCCTCTGCTCAGTGGGCACAGGGTCTCCTTTTGGGGTGATAAAAATGTTTTGGAACACAGCGGGAGGCTCACTCTTTTTGACAGGGTTTTCCCAAAAGAACACAGAGGTACCTGACCCTGGAGACGGGTTTGGGACAGTAGGCTGGAAGGAAGTCACCTTCCATCTGTGGGACGGGGGAAGGGGGAAGGGGGAAGGGAAGGGGGAGGGCACAATCAGTGAGAGAGTAGACACAGGTTTGCTGGGAGCGTACAGACTTGGGTGAAGGCAGATGGCATCTGAGGTGGATCCGGTCAGCTCAGCTCCGGAATGGGAATGGGAGCGAAGAACCTCGGTGGGAGGAACACCCCAGGGGCAGGGGGTGTACACCATGGTTACCACTCGGGGCCGTAGCTGCCAGATTGGAGTGGATGGTGTAGCAGGTTAAATAACGGCCCCCTAAAAGAGGTGTGTCCACGCCCTATCCCCCGTACCTGTGAATGTGGCCTTATTTGGAAATGAGGTCTTTGCAGATGTAATTAAGTTAAGGATCTCCAGATGAGATCATTCTGGATTTAGGGTGGGCCCCAAATCCAATGAAGGCATCCTCCTGAGAGAAAGGAGAGGGAGATCCGACACATCGACACAGAGGGAAACGCACGGGAAGACAATGGCAGCAGCTGCGGGCGGCCACGGGCCAAGAAAGGCCACGGATTGCCAGCTGGGGGAGAAGCACGGAATGGATTCTCCCTCGGAGCCTCCAGAAGGAACCCACCCTGCCAGCACCCTCACTTCAGACTTCTGGCTTCCCCAACTGTGAAGAGAATAAATTTCTGTTGTTTTAAGCCCTAAAGAAGTTTTGGAGCTAGTTAGTGGTGACGGTTACACAATACCGTGAATGTACTATGCCCATGAACTGTATACTCTAAAATGGTGATTCTATATTATATGAATTTCACCTAAAAAAAAAAAAAATATCCCCACAAGGAACCTTCTGGAAACTGCCCGTGGGTGTTTTCCCTGCAGGACGGAGGCTGCCCAGCCCCAGTGATGGAGAGGGAGCTGGCCTGCACTCAGTGAGCTTCCGGCCAGGCAGATGGCAAAGCCAGTGATGCCGGCAGGGAGTGAGGAACTCTCCCCCAGCCAGGCAGGAGGACGCCGCCCCCGAACCTGCTGTGCGGATCTCACCTTGTAGAGGCCGAGCTCCGTCTCGTCCCACGCATCCTCGCCCGCCAAGCCGGCCTTCCCGTCGCCCTCTATGGCCGCCTCACCATGGTTGGACGACTTGTCCGACTCGCTCTGGCCCAAGCAGCAGCCCGAGTCGGTGTCGGACAGCTCGGAGTCGCGCTCCTTGCTGCTGGGGGGCAGCACGAGGCTCTGGCGGACCAGCAGCTGGATGGTGTCATTCAGGCGAACGTCATAGTCGAAGAGAGTGTGGCCGTCTTCCATCTGCAGGGACAGCAAGAAGGAGGTCACCAGACACTTACCGAGCGTCTGCGGGGCGCCAGGTGGGCCTAGTCAAGCCACGGAGAGCACAAGCAGGAAAAAACCACCAAGTCTCCATCCAGAGCAGGTTAAAACCAAATAAACCAAGCCTGCTGCTGTTGATTCCAAATCATGGTGACCCCACAGGTTCCAGAGCAGAACTGTTCCATAGGGTTTTCTAGGCTGTAATCTTTATGGAAAGGAGCCCTGGTGGTGCAGCAGTTAAAGTGCTTGGCTGCTAACCAAAATGTTGGCAGTTCTAACCCAGTAGCCACTCCGCAGGAGCAAGATGTGGCAGTCTGCTTCTGTAAAGATCACAACCTTGGAAACGCTACAGGATGGTTCTGCTGTCCTATAGGGTCATTACGCATCGGAATTGACTAGACAGCAATGGGTTAATCTTTACAGAAGACACTGCCGGGCCTTTCTCTCAAGGCGCCTCTGGGTGGACTCAAACCACCAGCCTTTTGGTTAGCAGCTGAGTGTTTAATTGCACCACTGAGGGCCTCCCTAGGTCAGGTTACAGGACAATAAAATATGGACCACATCTGCGAGGCGCACCCTGCCCAACAGCACTGCCACGCCTTTCCTCGGGGTCCCTAAGGCTCTCTCTAAGGAGGTGGGACAGGACTCCTGGTGTTAGGCACCGAGTATCCCCGTGAGCACACACAGCATCATCCCAGCTGTGTGCCAGGATACACGTGGGGCTTCAGGGGAGATTTTCTTAGGACATGACGTGGTTTGCAGCTGTTTCTTACAGCAAATACCCAATGACAGAGAATCAGCCCCTGTCACTGAGTCTCAGTCGGGGGCAATTCTGCCCTGAGGACACTGGGCAAAGACTGGGGACACCCGTGGTTGTCATGACTGGGGGTGCTACTGGCACCAAGTGGGTGGAGACCAGGGATGCTGCTCAACACCTTACAGTGCACAGGATGACCCCACCCCAGAGAATGATCCAGCCCCAAATGTCTACAGTGCAGGACCTAAACCAAACCCAACCAAACTCTTTGCCGTGGAGTCAGTTCTAACTCATAGTGACCCTACAGGACAGAGCAGAACTGCCCCACAGGGTTTCCAAGGCTGTAGTCTTTATGGAAGCAGACTGCCACACCTTTCTCCTGCGGAGTGGTTGATGGGTTCAACCCACCGATCTTTCGGTTAGCAGCCAAGCACTTAACCACTGCACCACTAGGGCCCCTTATACAAACCTAAAAACCAAGAAACAAACCCGTTGCCGTCAAGTCAATTCCAACTCACAGCGACCCTACAGCACAGAGAAGAACTGCCCCACGGGGTTTCCAAGGAGCGCCTGGTGGATTTGAACTGCCGACCTTTTGGTTAGCAATCATAGCTCTTAACCATCGTGCCACCAGCATTTCCTTTACAAACCTAAGGAGACCTAAAATCCCAACATGCATTTACTTTTCAAGGCTCTTGTTCAAGTCTTATCCACCCCAGGACAGCTTCTCTGATCCATTAGCCCCATCCCTCACTATTAATTCCTATATCCTAATTTCCCCCTACTGAAATCCCTGGGTGGTGCAAATCGCTGACATCCTCGCTGCTAACTGAAAGGTTGGAGGTTTGAGTCCACCCAGAGGCACCTCAAAAGAAAGGCCTGGCAATCTACTTCTGAAAACCCTACGGAGCACAGTTCTACTGTGACACGCATAGGGTCGCTGGGGGTCGGAGTCGACTCGATGGCAGCTGGAACATCTTCTTTCGGCTTCCTGTTCACCCAGGGCACAGCGAGCCTCCCAGGCGCCCAGGACCACGCCAGGTACCACAGGCAGGCCAGAGCGAGTGAGATCCAGTGCCAGCTTCCAGCTCAGGACCAGGGGAGCAGCTGTGTCACCAGGCAGAGGTGGGGCCACTGTGCATCAGAAATCAACTCGAAGGCACACGTCACCAAGAACAAATCTCTAACACGGTACAAACTGATAAATAGAAGCCGCATGAACCAAAGCACTTTGGGGGCCTCAGTTGTCTTGAAGCGTGTAAGGGGGGTCTCAAGACCAAACAGTTTGGAAACTGCTGCCCTAGAAAAGCTCTTGTAACACAGTATACCAGGAGGCCCGTTCAAGAATATTCTGCTACTCTGTCCTTCAGGGTCGCTACAAGCTGCAATCGACTCGGCGGCAATGGGTTTTTTGTACTGCTCCTAACAGAAACACCTGGATCAAGGCACTGACGCGTAATTGGCAAACTGTGGAAAGCAAGACAGATCTAAATAAAGTTTTATTGGCACACAGCCACAGCCATTTGTTTACATGTTGTTGGCTACTTCATCCTGCAAAGGCAGAGTTGCGTCGTCCAGACAGAGACAGTACGGCCTGCAAGGCCACAATATTTACTTAGTCAGGTGCCGTCAAGTCGATTCTGACTCGTTAACAACCCTATACGACAGAGAAGAACTGCCCCGGAGGGTTTCCAACGCCGTAGTTGCTATGAATCGGAATCGACTCGATGGTAGTGGGTTTGGTTTTCTGGTTAATCTTTATGGGAGCAGATCACCAGGTCTTTTTCCCATGAAGTCAATGGGTGGGTTGGAACCTTTGGGTTAGCAGCAGAGCACTTAACCATTGAACCACCAGGGCTCTTTTAAATATTTCCTATTGGGCCCTTTACAGAAACAGTTTGCTGTCTCTTGGCTTGGGGAAGGAGGGCCACAGTGTGAGGACCCTGGTCGCGAGCGCCTCCCTCATGCCGCCTGGCCCTCCGCTCCAGGCACACAGAGAAGGCCAGTCCTGCAGGGTCATTCGGTGTGCTGCTGTGACATATCTGACCCTTACACAGCCATTCCAAGGCCACCACTTCAACTGACTTGTCAGACTGACCTGAGCATGGTCTATGGGGCAGGCGTGGGCCATGTAGTTATTTTTCTAATGTAAGCTACCTCCTAAATCGGCAGTTCTCAACCAGGGTGATTGTCTCCTGGGAACACTAGGTGACGTCTGGGGACATTTATAGTTGTCAGAACTAGGGGGTGCTACTGGCAGTGAGTGGGTGGAGGCCGGGGATGCTGCTCAACACCCTACAGTGCACAGGACGGCCCCACCGCAGACAAGGCTCCAGCCCCCGTGTCAGCAGTGCCGAGGGGGAGAAGCTCAGCTCAGTGACTTACGGAGCCGTCACTGCGAGCCAGGCTCGGGCCCAGCCCTTCATGTACACGCCACACTGAACTCTCACAGCCCCACGATGTGGCGGGTCCTCAGTCAGCCCCATGGGAGAGGCGACAACATGGAGGCAGAGAGCGAGGCACTGGCCAGAGAAGCGCAGCCAGCCCTGAGATTCTGTACAGCGCACAGCATTGTACCTGAGCTCATTAAAGACGCCATAAATAACAGCTATTGTTACTGCCATGGGCAGCCAAAAAAAAAAGGCGCCAGATGCCTCCCGCCTTTGCCCAGGCTGGGCCTCCTGCCTGAAGTCCCTTCCCCCACGTGGCTCCCCGCATCTCCGCCAATCAAGCAACAGAACTGCCAGCCTCCTCGGCCGAGGCAGGACTGCCACGAACCCCTCCACATCCCAGAGAAAGACTCAACTATGTTCTCCTTCATGTTCCCAGACAACCGCGCTGCTGTCCTCGTACTGCTGTGCGATGTCGCTTTTAAAAAATTGCGAACACTCTCTAGAACATTCTGTAAAAACAACTCACATCCCACCCGCTGGAATTCGGGCGGCTTTGTCTCTGCTATTAATCCGACGTGTGTGGAGACTTCACCCGCCGCCACATGCCGCTCTGTGCCTCTGTCCCCACCCTCCTGTCGCCGTCCACACTTGTGAAGGGCTGCGGTGCTTCCGAGCCAGGCGGCCTTGGGGAGATTGCATCACAGCTCTGGAGCTTGGTTTTCTTACCCGGGAAACAGAAACCCCACATTCCTCACACGAGGAGGCCACGGGGCCTCCACAGGGACTGGGAGGCGCCCGCACAAAGCCGCCATGTGGGGAAGGAACATCAGGGAAGGGGGGAAAAGGCAGTTATACTGGCTCCAGGGACCCTGGGTGGCATGAAGTTAAAGCACTCAGCTGCTGACTCAAAGGTTGGCGGTTCAAGTCCATCCATAGCCGCCTTCGGAAGAAAACCCACTGCCGTCGAGTTGATTCCGACTCATAGTGACCCTATAGGACAGAGTAAAACTGCCCCATAGGGTTTCCAAGGAATGGCTGGTGGATTTGAACTGCTAACCTTTTGGTCAGAAGCCTGAGCTCTTAACCACTGTGCCACCAGGGCCCCACTCAGAAGAAAGACCTTGCAATCTATTTCTGAAAAACCAGCCCATTGAAAAGCCTATGGAGAATCAATGTTATAAATGGGACACGTAGAAACTGTTCAACTGGTGTACGTTTTGCTGTGTATATTCTCAACAACAAAATAAATAAAATTAATTTAAAGAAAAAAAAAAAAAAGCCTATGGAGCCCAGTTCTCTGACACACATGGGGTCACCATGAGTTGTGGTCAACTTGACGGGAACTGGTTTAAAATTTAGATGGTGGGAGTTCATGTGTTTATGTTTCCTTCAACTTTTCTGTATGTTTGAAATTTTTCTTGTAAGTATGGGGGGGTGTTAAGACAGAAGATGTAAAAATTAAAATGCTGGCATATAGAAGGCACTCAAAAAGATTTGCTGCCTTGTTGAAAGAGCTCAAGTCTAACCCATCTGTTATGAGTTGAACTGTATCCTCCAAAACGGTATGTTTAAATCCGAACCCCCGATACCTGTGAATTAAGTCCTAACCCCCGATACCTGTGAATGTGACCTTGTTTGGAACTAGGGTCTCCGCAGATGTAACCAGTTAACATCAGACCATATTGGAACAGCCCAATCCCAGCTGCTGTCGAGTCAACCCGACCGATAGGCACCCCACGTGTGCAGAATAGAACCGTGCTCCATAGGGTTTTCACAGGCTGATTTTTCGGAAATACATCACGGGGCCTCTGTCTTTCTCAAAAAAAGACAAAAAAAGACAGAAAATGCAGCAGGAAGACAGGCACGTGAAGATAGCACCAGACCGGAATAATGATGCCTGCACCAGGCGAGGGACACCCATGACCACCCAAGACTAGAAGACAAAAGAAAGGGTCCCCCCCAGAGCATCGGGGGGGGCACGGCCTGCCGACACCTCAAATTCGGACTCCTGCCTCCAGAACGTTGAGACCATAAATGTCTGTTGTTTTAAGCCCTGCAGTGTGTGGGGTTTGGGTCCAGCCGCCCTGGAAAACGAACACAGCAAACTTAGCGGCCACACACAGCAGGCTTTCCAAAACGATCTGTTAACTGCAGGCCCCTGCACCGAATAAGCAGACTGAGTGGTAAATAGAAATCAGTTTGTACGGGACAAAACTGAGCTGTTGTCAGAGAAGATGAGGGAGGAGGGGAGGAGGAGGAGGGAAAAGAGGACAAAGAGAAGGAGGAGGAGGAAGAGGATAAAAAGGAAAAGGAGGTGGAGAAGGAAGAAAAGAAGGAGAATGAGGAGGAAGAGCAGGGAGAAAGCAAGGCCTGGAACTCCACTCTGCTCCCAGCCCGGCTTTCTCCCCACACCTAACTCCAAAGTGGCGGAACTGACAAGCCACATGGCTGCAGTCAAATCTTCAAGTTCCCGGGACCAGCAGGGCGGGTTAACGCAAATTCTTAAGGCGTTCAAGTCATCGCCTCGTTTACAGGAAGGAGGCTAAAGAAGGCTTCCCAGGGGACCGCAAGCCCAAGAAATTAATCATCACGTCTCACTTCAAGTCAGCACCCAGGATCCTCCCACCCCCCAGAAACCCGGGCCAAGCTCGCCTGCATTTGCTTTTCAATTCAGACGCCAGATGGCAGCAGTGACCAGCGCGAGATGCCACAACAACAGAAGTGGGACTCCACGGCGCGCAATTGACTACTTTTCAGCCCGTGCGTATCTGCGCCCCTGTCCCTAGGGTCCATCCGACTCCCAGATGGCTCCAGCAGCCAGACCAACACTTTTCACCCTGCTGTCTTATCATATCCAGGATATCTCACTCACGGTGCGCCCCGCTGTCCCCCCGAAGACACCAGGAGCAACAGAAACCCCCAGGGGGCCTGGGCAAAGTGTCCGGAATGGGAGCAGCTGTTAGAGCGGGAGTGGCCATTTTAAATGCTACCAGAGCCTAAGGAAAGAACAAGACAGGGGACCAGCAGGCCCTGCGGCCCCTGCTGAGAGCGCACGCCGCCATCCCCCGGGTTGTTGTTGCTGGGTGCTGCAGAGTCAATTCCGACTCGTAGCGACCCCATGTGACAGAGTAGAACTGCCCCATAGGGTTTCCTAGGCTGTAATCTTAAAGGGAGCAGATCGCCAGGTAGCCAGCTAAAAAGCAGCCCCAGACTGGTGGAAATTCCTGATCTGTAAGCACCGCTTTGAGTAAGCCAATCTAAATTTCTAGAAGACAGAACCCGTGAGACCAGACGCTAAATAGGTACAGGCTGCAAGTGTGTGTTCTAAAGAAAAACCCTGTCCCTTCTGCCCAATCTGAGTGATGATTCTAGATCTTTCCTCTAAATTCATCAGCACCCTGTCCGCCACCTCCAACTTCTGGCTCTGAAAATTCTTTTCAGCGCGAGTTTAAAAAATACAAAAAGGTGATCAAAAGCCCCAACCCTACAACTGCCAGCCCAGCGTGTCAATCTGTAAGCCAGGCCTTTGTTCCCTGGCCGGCATTTGAGGTTTCTGTGGACTTCTCCTTCCGGGAGACGTGAAGCGGACCGGATGGGGGGGGAGAAGGTGTCTGCTTGTGGCGGGTGAGGCGCGGTGCCTGGACCAGGCTGAGAACAAAGGTGCCGGGCAGCGGGCGGCCTGCAGGGCGGGTTTACCTGCTTGCCCCTGTAGAACAGCCTTTGCAGGCCCGGCTCCACGTGGAAGAGCTCCTGGATCTTCAGCCGCAGCTCCTCCACCTTGGTCAACCTGGACAGCGAGTCAACAGAGTGGGCCTCCTTGCCGTCCATGGTACGCACTTGGATCCACATGGTGTCGGGGCTGAGAGAGGGAAAAAGCAGGACATGGGGCGGTCAGTTCCGCCGCCACTAAGCCATACTCGGGCCAGCGTTGCTTTTGTCCAGTCGGTGGGCACCGGGAAACTTCCAAAACACCCTCCCACCCCCTCTAGGCCCCATAGATGGCTAGACCTGGGGCAAGGCCGGGCTGAGGGAATTAAGGAGTGAATGTATTAATGAACGGCCAGAGAGGGGAAGTGAGGGGAAGACCAAAGGGGTCCCGGACCACCCAGTCCCACCCAAGCCCCTTGCACAGAAGAAAACACCAACGTCCAGAGAAGGTGGACCGGCCAGGGGCGCCCAGCCGAACAGCGAGCCGCCAAGTTGGTTCATTCATTCATTCCTCCAATTCACATTTACGGAAGAGGGAATTTTCAAAAGTCCGGCACGGGTCAGAACTTCCGAAGTCCTCTGGGAACTCAATGAAGTGGGACTGGGGGGAAGGCCGCCACCCGAGACCTGCTGGCCCCAGGACCCCCCCAGTACCCCCCCGCGCGTGCGCGCCCAGCCCCGCGGTGGCCATGGCAACCGGGCGCCCCGTCCCGGCCGCCCCCGCGCGCTCCGCCACTCACCTCAACCCGGCGGCGGCGGCCGGGCTCACTGGCGGGTTCCCGCGCGCCGGCTCGCGCTCCTAGGACCCTGGACCCAGACAGCGTTCTCCCCCGGCCCTCGCGGGCCGCGCCAGCGAGCCCACGCCCACCCCCACCGCGGGGACCGGCCAAGGGGGCCCAGCTTGCCAAGTCCCGCCCCCTTCACTTGAGATGCCTCGTTTATTGGCTCCGCCTTGCCCGGCCGCCCCGCCCCACTCGGTCCCCATTGGTCCAGACGCGCCCGGGGAACGGAGGGCGCGCGAAATCAGGCTCGGGCGCGACAATTGAATCGCGGGGTGCTCCGCGCGCAGGCGCGGAGCCTGACATCCTCCCCCGCGGCTCGCCGGACCCTCCCCCACCCAGCCTGCGCGACCCCCGTCGGGCTCCCAGGACGCTCCGCTCGCTCGGCCGGACTTGGAGTCACCGGGGGCGACTCCCAGGACTGGCCGGAGGAGGCTCCGATCCCGGGACCTCATGCAGTCCAGCGCGGGCACCCGTGCGCCCCATGCTGGCCGCGCGTCCTGGACGCTCGGGAAAGTTCTGCAAAGTCCCCGAGCCTGGTGCACCGCGCGCGCCCCGCGGCCCGGGCTGGCCCCGAAGCCCACCGTGCAGCTCACCTTGCCTGCTGGCCCGATCCGTTCGCCTGCCTGCGCGCCTGGCCCAGCTAGGGGTGGTGTGGACCTGCTTGCGTGGGACTGCGTGGGACCCGGAGCGCGCGGACGGCCACCGCTGCCCGCCGCGCTGCCAGCCGCTCTGATTTTTTTCCCGCGAAAACTCGGCGTTAGGGAGTTGCGGGGCCGCGGGAGGCCGCTCCTGGGGAGGGCGCCTGCGTCGTGATTGGCCGCCGCAGTGGCGGGAAGCGAGAAAGGGGGGGGGGGCCGCCCCCGCCTCTGTCCACCACCCCCCTCCGCCGGGACCCGCCCAGCCCTGCGCGCTCTGCTGGGCGCGCCCAGCGTGCAACGGGCCAAGTGGCAGCCCCTGACCCCCCCTTCCCCACCCCCCGAGGCCTAGGGATCCCCCAGGGTAGGGACCCCCTGACCTCTTAAGTCCGTTCACGCAGCCCACCTCCTGGGACACGCACTGACCAGTAGGTCCAGGAAGGCCGAAATCATGTCTAAACACTGCAGGAGGCTGTGAGGGGCCCCCACAAGACCGCCTGCACCCGATGGCCCGTCTGATGGCCCCCAGCCCCACTTCCTTGCAGCAAGGCCCGCCAGCACTCCCCACCCGACCGACCCACCCGCAGGGCTTGTTTGCTGGGTTTTCCCGCCTCGTTTTCCCGCCTTCTGGGGCTGTCCAGGCGGGCAGGGCGGCCCTGCCCCCTCCGCCCTGCCTGCTCCGCTCTGACCAGTCCAGGCGGGCACACAGTGACCCATGCCGGACACCTACAACGGCCAGATAGGGTGCTCGGGGCTGGGAGCGTTGCTCGACAGAGGGCGGTGGGCAAGGCAGACCCGGTCAGTGATCTCAGGGAGGGGGAATTCTGTCTGGGGAGTCCAGCAAGAAGTAATGAGTAAAGCAGATAATTTCAGCGAATACCCCGTGCTAAGAGGACAGGACAATGGCTGGCGAGTGACCGGCGTCCACGTGGCAGGGAGGGAGGATATTCTGGTCGGGGTGGAGAGTGGGCCTGTCTGAGTAGGTGACATTTGAGCTGAGATCTGAGATGAGAAGCTATGGACAGATGGGTCGAGGAGGGAAGGGCAAATTCAGTGGCCAGAAAAGGCTGAGAGGTGTTAAGGTGAAATGAGCAAAGGGGAGGGCGGGAGGGGACGAGGCCAGCGGGGTGCCCTGGAAGACCTCGCAGGCCACGGAGGACTTTGGTCTTTCTCCCGAGAGCAGTGCATGCCACAGGAGGCCCGTGAGCAGGAAGGCATGAGCTTTGACTTAGCTTGTTACGAGCTGCCTCTGGCCCTGTGCCGAGTCCCTTCTATCTTGGCCCTGGTGTTTCGGGTCTCATTTCCCCAAGCGGTCAGTGGAATAATGGCCCCCAACCATGTCCAGTTTGTACTCCCTGGGACCTGTGAATGTGTTACCTTCCATGGTAAAAGGAACCCTGGTGGCTCAACGGTTAAGCAACTGGCTGCTAACCGAAAGGCTGGCGATTTGAACCCACCAGCCGCTCCGCAGGAGAAAAGACCTGTAATGATTACAGCCTTGAAAACCCGATGGGACAGTTCTACTCTTTCCTATAGGGTTGCTATGAGTCAAAATTGACTCGACAGCACCTAACAACGTGGCAAAAGGGTCTTTGGAGATGGGATGAAATCAAGGGTGTTGAGATGGGGAGAGTATCCCGGAATCTGGGTGGCCCTAAGTGTCCTCACAAGGGTCCTTGTAAAAGGGAGGCAAGAGAGTCATAGGAAATGAGATGACAGAGCAGAGGTTGGAATGACGTTGCCAGAGGACAAGGAATATGGGAAGCATCTGTTATGAGTTGCCGTTGAGTCAGTTCTGACTCAGCGACCCTGTATACGCAGAGTTGAACTGCTCTACAGAGTTTTCGAGGTTGTGATCTTTCAAAAGCAGATCTCCAGGGCTGTCTTCCAAGGTGCCTCTGGGTGGGTTCTAACCCTCAAACTTTCGACTAGTAGTCGAGCACTTAACCATTTGTGCTAAGAAATGGATTCTCCCTTAGAATCTCCAGATGTAACACAGCTCTGCCAACACTTTGATTTTAGCTCCTAAGACCCATTTCAGACTTCTGGCCTTCAGAGCTGTAAGATAATACATCTGAGTTGTTTTAAGCCACTACGTTTGTGGTCATTTGTTACAGCAGCAATAGGTGACTAATCACTCCAATACCGTGATGTCTAGATGCAGATACAGCGGTTAACTTTCTCCAATTTCAGGTCTTGGTCAGTAGTACTGAATGCATTTCTGAACCCTCAGCCATCAGCCGTGTATAGACAATGTCACAAGTGTGACCAGGTATCAAGGAGGCCTACCTGAGTTTGTGAGGCAAGTCGTTATTGTTAGGTGCTGTCAAGTTGGTTCCAACTCATAGCAACTCTCTGTGCAACAGAACAAAACACTGCCCAATCCTGCGCCGTCCTCACATTCATTGCTATGTTTGAGCCCACTGTTGCAGCCACTGTGTCAATCCATCTCATTGAGGGTCTTCCTCTTTTTCACTGACCCTTCCACCTTACCAAGCATGAGGTCCTTCTCCAGGGATTGGTCCCTCCTGATAACATGTCTAAAGTAGGGCTTCCAAATCAAGAACACTTGCTGCAGGAACCTGGCATTTTCCTGTTCATGCCTGGTGTTGCAAAAACTCAACATGGCCGAAGGAGGGAATACAATTCTTCATGTATACTTTGGAGTAGGAGGCCCAGCCCTGGTCCCTTGAGTATATGAAGTTAAGTAATGTAGAGAGAGATGTCTGGATTTCCCTGAAGAAAAGTCCTTCAGGAGAAGCAAGGTAAGGTCCCATTTCTGTAATCATTCCAAAAAAGTTAGAGAGGTGAACCAATGGGCCTCTGTGAGTAGGTGACATTTGAGAGGTTAGCCTCAGAAGGGTTGCTCATGTTAATAATTAGTAAACACATATAAGAGACTATACCTGGGAAATGGTTTGACAGTTTTCAAAAAGTTAAACATAGAATTACCGTTGTTTTTGTTGTTAATTACCATCAAGTTGATTCCAACTCCTGGCGAGCCCACGTGTGCAAGTAGAATTGTGTTCCATAGGGTTTTCAAGGCTGTGACTTTTTCGAAGCAGATAGCCAGGACCGTCTTCCAAGGCACCTCTGGGTGGTTTGGAACTGTCAATCGTTTGGCTGGTAGTCAAACACTTAACCATTTGCGCCAGCCAGGGCCCCAGAATTACCATGTTGTTCACGTGTGCCATCGAGTTGATTCTGACTCCTAGCGACCATACAGGACAGAGAAGAACTGTCCCATAGAGTTTCCAAGACTGTAATCTTTATGGAAGCGGATTATCCCATCTTTCTCCCACAGAGCAGCGGGTGGGTTCAAACCACCAACCTTTCAGTTAGCAGCCGAGCACTTTAACCACTGTGCCATGTATGACCCAGCACTTCTACTCCTGGGTATATACCCAAGAGAATTAAAAGCAGGTACTCGTACACCAATGTTCACAGCAGCATGATTCACAATAGCCAAAAGGTGCAAACTACCCAAGTGTCCGTGAATGGGTAATTGGATAAACAAAATGCAGTATATCCATACAACGGAGTATTAGTTAACCAGCAAAAGCGGCGAAGCACTGATACATACTACAACATGGGCAAACCTTGAAGACATCATGGCAGGTGAAATAAACCAGACACAGAAAGACAAAGATTGTACAATTCCACTCAGGTGGGGTATCTTTGCTGTTGTTGTTGATTGTTGCTGTCAAGTTGGCTCCCACTCACAGTGACCTTACGTGTAACAGAAAGAAACGTTGGCCAGTTCTCCGCCATCTTTATGATCAGTTGCTATCCGTAAGGTTTTCATTGGCTAATTTTCAGAAGTAGATCACCAGGCCATTCTTCCCAGTCTTAGTCTGGAAGCTCTGCTGAAGGTTGTCTACCATGGGTCACCCTAACAGTATTTGAAATACCAGTGGCATAGCTCTCAGCATCATCTAGAATAGGCCAATTCATAGAGACAGGCAGTAGAATAGAATTTACCAGGGCTAGGGAGAGGAGGCAATGGGGGGTTATTGTTTAACGGGTATAGAGTTTCTGTTTGGGATGGTAAAAAAAAGACCTGGAACTAGATAGAGGTGATGGTCGCACAACATGGTGAACATATTTAATGCCACTGCATTATACACTCCAAAATGGTCAAAACGTTAAACCTTAACCCAAAAGTATCTATCCCCTGAAGTCTTCTTTAAACCAAAAATAGTTTAGCTTAATTAGTAAAGAATGTCTGCCATGAGCATTGTGCTTTTAACGAACTATCCATATGGTATCAAATGGACAACAGCAACTCCAAAGGTTAGAGAAGAAACTTAGGGGCCAATGAGTCCCTGTTAATGGGGGAGGAAAAACTCAGAAAAGGAGGCTGAGAATGGTTGCACCCCTTGAAGAATGCAATCAATATCACTGAATTGTACACGGAGAAATTATTGAGTTGGTGTATGTTTTGCTGTATACATTCCGAACGACAACAACGAAACATTAGATAATTTTTTAAAAATGGTTAAAATGGTAAATTTTCTGTTATATACATTTTACTGCAATAAAAGAGAAATAAATAAGAGAGAGAGAGACCACGGTTGGCATTTCAGGAAGAAGCTTGCTAACCAGTTAAGGAGACAAGACATCAATATCCACAAAAGACATCACATTAAATGCAGCAAGTTACAACAAAGACAAAGACAATGAATGACGGTTGCCAGAGTCTTTGGAGGGGAGACTCCCTTGCAGCTCTTCAGCTGCTGTGTCCCTCCCACTAGGCACGGGCCCATGTCCAAATCAGGCACCAGGAATACCCACTCAGGTGCAAGGGGCCTTGGTTTCCCTTTTGTAAAAAGATCCACTCTAGAAGGTCATTTAGTCATTCAACAAACTTTATTGAACCCCCTGTCTGAGTCAGGCAGACACTGGTGGACGCAGCTTACTGTGGCAATGTCCTGCCCAGGAGAGGCTTCCCATCCGATGGGAGAGACGCACGCATACAGAGAAATGTCAGAAGCACAGAGAGATTGTGCTCCATGATGGAGTCAAGGGCCAGGTTGAGCACACGATGCTGTGAACCTCTTCAGGCCACATCGGGTTTGATGGACTGGCCATCTATACTTTTTTCTAATACAGACTGGTATAAATACGTTGTTATTGTTAGCGGCCGTTGAGTCAGCCCCTGACTCGTGGCCACCTTATGTGTTAGAGTAGAACTGCTCCATAGGGTTTTCTTGGCTATAATCTTTACAGAAGCAGATTGCCAGGCCTTTCTTCCCCAGTGCTGCTGGGTGGGTCTGAACCACCAACCTTTAGGTTAGGTGTTGTTGTGTGCCCTCGAGTTGATTCCGACGCATAGCGACCCTATAGGATAGAGTGGAACTGTCCCATACGGTTTCCTAGGCTGTCATCTTTACAGAAGCAGATGGCCAGGCCTTTCTTCTGTAGCACCACTGGGAGGATTCAAACTGCCAACCTTTCGGTTAGTAGATGAGCGCCAACTGTTTGCACACCGAGGGACCTCTAGAATAAACACAGAACCATTAAAATAAAAGTGATAACAATCCTACAAATAAAAAAATAAAAACGATTCTGTACAACACAAAATCAACGTGTGAACTCCAAGAGGTACACATACCACATTTGCGGACCATCTGATAGGACAGAAAATACCTTCGAGCTCACCCAACGGCCTTTCTTTCTTCATCTATAAACAGAGCTAATAATACCTACCTCACCAGAGAATTTTCCAAGAGGCCCCTTAGCCCCGGACACAAGTGGTGGGGTTTTATTTTTGTTATTTCCTAGGAAAAAGGGGTCAGCCTACCATTTCATGAACCAGTAAGTAACGTGAGTCTCTAAGTGGCTGCCTCACCCAAACAACAGCCTTCCCCACCTCAGGGTGGGCTCGAACTGCCAACCTTTTGGCTAGTAGTCAAACGCGTAACTATGCAACCCAGGGTCTCTCTCTTTTTTTTTTTTTTTTTTTGAAGTTTTTTGTTGTTGTTGTTGTAGTTTAAATGAAGTTTACATTTCAAGTTAGTCTCCCATACAAAAATTTATACATACATTGTTATGTGACCCTAATTGCTCTCCCCATACTGTGACAGCACACTCCTCCTTTCCACCCCTGATTCCATGTCCATTCAGCCAGCTCCTAACCGTCTCTGCTTTCCCATCTCACCTCCGGACAGAAGCTGCCCGTTTAGTCTCTTGTATCTACTTGAACTAAGAGGCACACTCCTCACGAGTATCACTTTATGTCCCACAGTCCAGTCCCATCCCTGTCTAAAGAGTTGGCCTTGGAAATTGTTTTAGTTCTGGGCTGATAGAGAATCCAGGGGCCATGCTTTCCGGGGTTCCTCCAGTCTCAGTCAGACCATTAAGTCTGGTCATCTTACAAGAATTTGAGTACTGCTCTGCACTTTGCTCCCTCTCTGTCAGGGACTCTCTGTTGTGTTCCCTGTCAGGGCAGTCATTGATGGTAGCTGGGCACGATCTAGTTCTTCTGGTCCCAGGCTGATGAAGTCTCTGGTTTACGTGGCCCTTTCTGCCTCTTGGGCTAATACTTCCCTTGTGTCTTTGGTGTTCTTCATTCTCCTCTACTCCAGGTGGTTGAGATCAATTGATGCATCTTAGATGGCCGCTTGCTAGCTTTTAAGACCCCAGATGCCACTCACCAAAGCAGGTTGCAGAACATTTTCTTAATAAGCTTTGTTATGCCAATTGACCTAGACGTCCCCTGAAAGCATGGTCCCAGCGTCTCTTTTGTTGGCTGTTCTTGTTGTTAGGCGCCGTCAAGTCGATTCTGACTTATGGCGACCCTACAGGACAGAGTAGAGCTGCCCCACAGGGTTTCCAAGGCTGTTCAAACTGCCTACCTTGCAGTGAGCAGCCGAGTGCTTAACTACAGTGCCACCACGGCTCCTTTTGTTTGCTGGGACTTGTGAATTTTGGTCTTGGGCTGGTCTCTTCCCATGTCTGACCCTCGGTTTCCTTATTTGTAAAATACAGATTAAATGCTCCTGTTGTTATTAAGTGCCATCAAATCAGTTCCAACTCATAGTGACCCTGTATACAACTGAACGAAACACTGCCCGGTCCTGTGCCATCCTCACAATCCTTGCTATGCTTGAGCCCATTTTTGCAGCCACTTTGTCAGTCCATCTCGTTGAGGGTCTTCCTCTCTTTCACCGACCCTTACAAATGGTAAATGTTCCTAATATTGTTTTAATTTGTAATATTGAATAAGGAGCCCAGGTGGCACAACATTAAAACGCTCGGCTGCTAAACGAAAGGTTGGCGGTTCAAACCCACCAGCGGCTCTGCCGGCGATCTGCTCCCGTGAAGATTACAGCCTAGGAAACTCTATGGGGCAGTTCTACTCTGTCATATGGGGGAGCTATGAGTTAGAATCGACTCAACGGCACACAACAACATTGTTATTCTAAGAAATGTCAGAATTAGTTAAATCACTTAAGAGCATGATAACTTCAGGGAGTGGTAGATGAGCAGTAAAAGAATGACACTGAGTAAAGGTTTTTAAGTGGTTAAAATTAAAGGTGATAGATAGGAAACTTAGCGGGCAGTGAGTTTATGCTACTTGGGGAAGAACAACTGGGAAAAGGAGGGTGAGAATGGTTGCATAGCTCCAAGAATGTAATCAATGGCACTGAATTATACATGTAAAAATTGTTGAATTGGTGTATGTTCTGCTGTGTATATTCTCCACAACAACAACAACAAAATTAATTATTTAAAAAAAAAAAGGTGAGGTTGTTGTTGATATTTTAAATAGCCTTCCCTCCTCTCCTGGCCATTGGGATCCCTCTTTCCGGAACCCTGGCTGGAGTGATGTCACAGATGGGTGACCTCACTTCGGCCAAGGAACCAGGACTCTCAGTGACATGGGGGAGGAGGGAGGATGTTTCTCTACAACCCCAACCCCCCATGTCTGTGGTGAAGTCCATTGAATTAGTGCTGCCCGAGGATGCCATCTACCTGGCCGGCTCCAGCCTCAAAGGGCAGGTGATTCTAACCCTGAACAGCACCCTGATAGACCCCATAGTGAAAGTGGAGCTCGTGGGAAGAGGTTATGTCGAGTGGAATGAAGAAACCGGGGCATCCCGTGATTATAGCAGAGATGTGATTTGCAACAACAAGGCAGACTATGTGCATAAGACAAAGACATTTCCAGTGGAGGGTAAGGACGAGGCTGGCACCACCCCTAGCCATAATAGGAGTCTGGGTCTGGAAGGTAAACGTATCTGACAGTCAATCAACAAACACCCCCCCCTCCAAATATCAGAAATGGGCAGAGGCCTGGTGGTTCCCTAGGAGGGAAGCCATGTAGAACAATGACCATCAGATACACAAAAATAACAAGACTGGCTTTCACAAGTAGCTGACCAGAACCTAGATGTTCAAACTGAGGACTGAAAGTAGTCCCCTTGGAAAATGCTATGCTTATTCCAATGACTGCCCTTGGGAGGCCCATAAGAAATCTAGTTATTTTACAGATAAATCTCCCTCTGAGCAGGGAAACTCTAAGGAGACAAAATTAGGGCTCCTGTGATCAGCAGAGAAAGAGGCTTGTGACAGAAGCGTGGGGAAGACCTTTCCAATTCCACCAGGGTCAGATATTTCATCTGGACAGACATCAGGAAGTCTAAACCATTGGGGAACTATGTCCAAAGTCTTCATGGGGATGTTTCCAGACATTCCTCCGTCAAGCAGGTCTGGCCAACACTTGGCTCAACAAAGTTTAAATTTAGACTTTTTAATTTTAGATAGGGTGGTCAGGGAAGGCCTCTCCTAGGAGATTAACAACTGAGCACAGATTTGAGTGATGAGAGGGACAGCAGCCATGCAGACATCTGGGGGACAAATGTCAACAAACAGAACCATGTCACCTCTTTTGTGTCCTAGTTAACCCATCTGTAAAATGGGAACAGTAAGAGGTCCTACCTCGTAAGGTCATTTTAATGACTTCATGATTTAATGGCCTGTAAAGGGCTTAGAATAGTGCTGAGCATACAGTAAGTGCTCCATAAGTGTTAGCTGTTCTAATTTTTACCAAAATACTACCCCCAGCATTACGTATCACCCTTCCATATTTCCAAGCAACTGAATTTCCCCTCAAAAGCATAAGCCTGAATCCTGCAACAGACTCACTCGTTTATCTAGAAACATTTATTGAGCACCTACTGTGTGTGTACAAACACCACGCGGGATGCAGCAGTGAACAAAACTGGTGTCTTTGGGATTGCTATAGGGTCAGGGGGCAGGCAGTAAGCTTATAATCAAATAAGAGAGTTTCAGAGAAATGCAAGAATGGAAACAAAGTGGAGGAGGTCAGAGAAATTGAGGTGGTGTTAGAGGATGCTCCCCAGTCCTCAGCAGTTGCTCAATAATTATTAAGGGCCTGCTGTATACCATGCACTGAAGGCCAAGCTCCATGAGGGCAGGGAGTTTTGTCTGTCCTGCTTACTGCTGTATATACAGCTCAAACTTCACCTGGCACACAGTAGGTGCTTACTACATGCTTGTTGAATTGAATGTGCAACTGAATCCTGAGAGCTTGAGAGGTTTGGGGTGACCACCAACAGCCTCGTTCACCCCTCGAGCCCAGCTGAAGCCTAATATGAAATGTCTCTAAAAGCAGAGCAGATTCCCTGGGGGGTGCAGACGGTTAAAATGCTCGGCTGCTAATCGAAAAGTTGGCAGTTCGAGTCCGCCTAGAGGCACCTCGGAAGAAAGGCCTGGCGATCTATTTCTGAAAACACAGCCACTGAAAACCCTATGGAGTGCAGTTCTACTCGGACACACATGGGGTCACCATGAGTCAAAATCAGCTCAACGGCAACTGGTTGACTGGTAAAAACAGATAACTCAGCCTTGCTCAGGGACAGATAGGACAAGCTGGGAACCCAATGCCCCATCAAAACAATAAATAAATAAAGGAAGAAAGAATTTAAGAAATTGCCCTAAGAAAGAAAAGAAGGAAGGAAGGAGATTCTAGAACCTTCTGATGGCATCGTTGGTGTGTTTTGCTTTCAGATAATTGGTTAAGTGCAGGCAGCCACACCTTTGATTTCCATTTCAACTTACCTCCCAGGCTTCCTTCTACCTTCACCAGCAAAATTGGCCACATCTTCTACTACGTACAAGCTTCCTGCATGGGCCGGGAGTTCATTTTAGCCAAGAAGAAGATGTATTTATTGGTTCAAGGGACTTCGGACTTCCGCAAAGAAAGCTCATTCCAGGTATCGATGCGGGTGGGTCAGCAGTGGGGAGTATCCTCCAAGCCCCAAGGAGGAAGGGGGACATGGGCAGGCAGGGGACGAGGAAGGACCCAACTAGGAAGAAGAGAAAGGTATTGGCAGCTCTCCAGGCCCAGCGATTTCACAAAAGATGAGTCAGAAACCAGAGTGGGAACTCAGTAGTGGTTCTATACTGGGAGAAATTTTGCCCCCTGGGGAATACTGGCAATGTCCGGAGACATTTGTGGTTGTCAAAACTTGGGAGGGGATACAGCCAGAGGGTGGAGGCCAGGGATGCTGCTCAACACCCTACAGTGCACAGGACGGCCCCACCTCAGGGAACGTTCCAGCCCAATGTCAGCAGTGCTGCATGGGAGAATTCCTGTGTTAATTATTTGGAAAACTTTAGTTCGATCCCTGCTCACACTGTACACGGGAAAAAGTTCCCAATGGGTCAGACGGTGTAAACCAGGGGGACCCTCCAGCTCCTGTGATTTCCCTTCTCTCTCCTCCCCACTCAGCGTGTGGATTTAAATGTGGGCAGCGTCCTAGGACGTCGGGTAGGTCAGATGATTATGGGAGTCTCTTGGGGGTCAGTGGAATCCCATGACCCAGGGGTCCTCACCTGGGGCAATTCTGCCCCCAGGAGACACTTGGCAATATCTGGGGACATTTATGGGTGTCACGACTAGGGGGGATGCTACAGGCACCGAGTGGGTGGAGGCCAGGGATGCTGCTCAACACCTTACAGTGCACAGGACGGCCCCACCCCAGAGAAAGATCGGGGCCCTGGGTCAGCGGTGTTGAGGGGGAGGCACCTCATAGTAAGCAGGTCCTAGAGGAGGTCTCGCTGTAAACCTCTCAGTGAGAAAGGAGCCTGGACATTCTTGGATGGCTCTTGAGGGGCTTTGGACCCTTAGACAATGGAAATAGTGCCCCCTGTGGACCATGGTCTCGGGGAACATCTAGCTCAATTGGCATGACAGAGCTTATAAAGACAATGCTGCACATTCTACCTTGGTGAGTAGCGTCTGGGATCTTGAAAGCCTGTGAGCGGCCATCTAAGATACTCCACTGGTCTCATCCCTTCGGGAGCAAGGGAGAATGAAGAGAACAGGATACAAGGAAAAGATTAGTCTGAAGGACTAATTGTCCACAGCTACCAAGGCCTCCACCGGACTGAGTCCAGTACAGCTAGATGGTGCCCGGTTACCACCACTGACTGCTCTGACCAGGATCACAACAGAGGGTTCTGGACAGAGCTGGAGATGGATGTAGAACATAATTCTAACTCACAAAAAAAGACCAGATTTACTGGCTTAAAGGAGACTGGAGAAACCCCGAGAGTATGGCCCCCAGACACCCTTTTAGCTCAGTGGTGAAGTTATCTCCGAGGTTCACCGTTCAGCCTGGGAGTGGACAGCCCCATAAAACCAAATGAGACTAATGAGGTACAGGAGTCCAGTGACAAGGGCCAGAAGGCAGAAGGGGACAAGGAAGCTGGTGATAGGGAACCCAAGGTTGAGTAAGGATATTGTTGATGTGTTGTGAGATTGTTAACCATTGTCATAGGGCAACATTTGTAGTAACTGTCAAATGAGAAACTATTTTGTTCTGTAAGCCTTCATCTTAAGTGAGAATAACAGCACAATTGGAAGAGCGTAGTCAATGTCACTGAACTGTGCATGTAGAAATTTTTGAAATGGTGTATCTTTGGCTATGTGTATTTTCACCAAAAAAAAAGGTTGAGAAGTTAGAGGGTTGACATGTTGTGGGGTTGTTAACCAATGTCATAAAACAATATGTGTACTACTGTTTCATGAGAAACCATTTGTTCTGTAAACCTTCGCATAAAGTACAATAAAAAAAAAATTGAAGTATATAAAAAAAAAAAAATAGTGCCCCCGAGAGGCCAGTGAAGGGGGCCTCAGTCCCAGGGGAAGAAAAGGGCTGTGTCGTCTCTGTTTGCCTGAGCAGAGAGGTGTTCGGGGCCCCTCCGGAGGCCAGGTGTAGATGTGGGTGGACCAATGTTGACCAAGGTCACCATGACCAAGCTCACTTCCCCTCCCCGGGCCTCTTCTGTCAGCAGAGCATGGTGGTTGAGAGGGCTGGCATTTAATTATTGAGGCCAGGTTAAAATCCTGGCACCCCTAGTTACCCACTGTGTGATCTTTTGCAAGTGACTTTGCCTCTCGGTGCCTCTGTTTCCCCATCTGTCATATAGGCATAGAAATAGGAGCCCAACTGGCTGTTGGACAACCAGTGAGTCCACTTCATGGAAGTCCAGGGCTTTGCACAGTTTGTTTAGTCAATTCCGACTCATGGAGACCCCATGTGTGTCAGAGTAGAACTGAGCTCCATAGGGTTTTCAATGGCTGTTTTTTTTAGCAGTAGATTGCTAGTACTTTCTTCCAAGGCACCTCTGGGTGGACTCGAACCTCCAACCTTTCAGTTAGCAGCTATGCATTAACCATTTGCACCACTCAGGGACTCCAAGCCCTAGGCAACCACTAATCCACTTTCTGTCTCTATGGATTTGCCTGTTCCGGACATTTCATAAAAATGGAAGTATGTACTACGTAAGGAGCCCTGGTGGCGCAGTGGTTAAGTAGCTGGCTGCTAACCAGAAGGTTGGCGGTTTGAACCCACCAGCAGCTCTGTGGGAGAAAGATGTGGCAGTCTGCTTCCGTAAAGATTACAGCCTTGGAAACCCTATGGGGCAGTTCTACTCTGTCCTATCCAGTTGCTACAAGTCAGAATTGACCTCACGGCAACAGGTTTGATTTTTGGTTTATACACTATGTGGCCTTTTGGGACTGGTGTTCACTCAGCATAATGCTTTCAAGGTTCATCCACAGGATAGGCTATATCAGAACTTCATTCCTTTCTCTGGCTGAATAATATTCCATTGTAGGATGGACCACTTTTGTTCATCCATTCACCCACTGATGGACATTTGGGTTGTGTTTGCTTTTTGGCTATCGTGAATCATGTTGCTATGAACTTTCCTGTACAAGTCATTGGATGAGCATTTGTTTTCTGTTCTCTTGGGTAGATAGCTAGGAGCAGACCTGCTGGGTCATATGGCAACTCTGGAGCCCTGGTGGTGCAGTGGTTAAGAGCTCGGCTGCTAACCAAAAGGTCAGCAGTTCGAATCCACCAACCGCTCCTTGGAAACCCTATGGGGCAGTTCTACTCTGTCCTATAGGGTCGCTATGAGTCAGAATCAACTCAATGGCAACGGGTTTGGTTTTGGGTTATGGCAGCTCTGTGTCTAATTTGAGGAAGTGTCAGACTGTTTTCTCATGTTATTGCTGTCGTTGGGTGCCGTCGAGTCGGTTCCAACCCAATGCAACCCCATGTGATGGAGCAGAACTGCCCCATAGGGCTTTCTAGGCTGTAATCTTTACAGGAGCACATGGCCAGGGCTTCTTCCCACGGAGACACTGGGTGGGTTCAAACTGCCAACCTTCTGGTTAGCCGCCGAGCGCTTCCCCATTGTGCCACCAGGGCTCCTTTAGGTTAGCAGATGACCACGCATTGCTTCATTGCTTGCACAACCCAGGGACTGTGAACTTGGCACCAAGCACATGCTAAATAAATATTGGCTGAATGAATGACTCTCCCCCGCAAAGCCTCATATAGGAGCCCTGGTGGCACAACGGTTAAGCGCTCATCTGCTAACTGAAAGACGGACGGTTCGAACCCACCCAGCAGCTCTGCAGGAGAAAGACCTGGCAATCTGCTCCCATAAAGACTTCAGCCTTGGAAACTCTCTGCCACATGGGGTCACCAAGAATCGGAATCGGCTCACCGCCACCTACAACAACAATGAAGTCTCTTACGAGCCGAAGGAATATGGGTTCCAAAAAACTCCCAAAGCCAGGAACTGAGCAACATTGGGTTTGCACCCCAACATTCTTGAGAATCAGGGCACTCTGGCCAGGCGTGGGGGTCTCCGCGGGGCCACTGTTGGTACTTCCTGATACCCCCTTCAGGACCAGGGCAGAACTGCTGACTTCCTCTTGAGTTAGGGCAGCTGCCTGTGGGGTCCTAACGCATGCAAGGAATTTTCGAATAAGACTGGAGAGATTTACAATGAAACTGCCCGCCATTAGTTGTGAGGGGGCACGGGGGGCGCAGGGGTGGGGGCAGCTAAAGAGGGGCAAGAACAAGAGGCGGAGGGCGGGAGGAGTGGTCAGAGGGGTCAAGGGTCGGCTCCAGGTCCCCAGGAGGAAAGAAACCAGACCTGAAGCAGCGTTTCTCAAACCCTGCCTCGCACCCCATGAGTGAGTGGCAAAAGCAATTTAGTGGGTTCAAGCATATTTTAAAATGTCACCCATAAATAAAAAACAAAATGATGCCCACGCCACACATTAAATATACTGTAGATGTGACTTTATTTGCAACCCGCAGTTGGCTATTGATATTTGTCGCTGTTGTTGTTAGGTGCCATGGTGTTAATTTCAACACATGTCGACCCCATGTGTGTCAGAGTAGAACTGCGCTCCATAGGGTTTTCAATGGCTGGTTTTTCAGAAGTAGATTGCCAGGCCTTTCTTCCAAGGCACCTATGGGTGGACTCAGACATCCAGCCTTTTGGTGAGCAGCTGAGCGTGTTCACCATCTGTGCCACCCAGGGATTCCCACCTCTTAATACGAGTCCTAAACCACCAGAAAGTGCTTGGCTGCTCACTGAAAGGTTGGCGGTTCGAACCCATCCAGAGGCTCCACGGGAGAAAGACCTGGCGATCTGCTCCCGTAAAGATCACAGCCTAGAGAACCCTACAGGGCAGTTCTACTCTGTTACACGGGGCCGCTATGAGTTGGAATCAACTTGACCACACCCAGCAACAACAACAAACCCTTCGAGACTTTGAGGAGCTATAATGGTGGAATGGCAGGCAGGCGCCTGGATCTTACGGCCGTGATCCCTCACGGTTTTCCGTTCCTCTCTCTTCTAGAACCCTCTGCTGGTGGAGGCTGAGAAGAGGGTGTCTTACAACTGCTGCAGCCAGGGCACTGTCCACCTGCAAATCTATATGGAAAAGAACATCTTCACGCCGGGAGACAGAGTCATTTTCACGACCGAGATCAACAACCAGACCGGCAAGTGCATCAAGACGGTCCTCTTCGCCCTCTATGCCCATGTGCAATACCAGGGCTTCACGCCCAAGACCGAGCTGCGGACGCGCATGGACAGCAGTGAGCTGCTGCGCCAGGAGGCCAACACCCACATCTCGCCCTTCAACACCACCAAGGTCGTCAGCACCTTCCACTTGCCCCTGGTGCTGTCGCTGAGCAGCGGTAGCAGCCAGCAGAACAACGAGATCATGAGCACGCAGTACGAGCTGGTCATCACCGTCCACCTGCCCTGGTCCCTGACCACCGTCAAGGCCAAGGTTCCCATCATCATCACCAGCTGCCAGCTGCTGGACGGGGAGGAGCCTAGATCACAGAATTAAGTGCCCAAACTTCTAAATATTAAAAGCTTTATCAGACTCTACTGGCAGTCCGTCCCCCTTTGTCTTGCAAGGTGCTCTTCAGGCGAGCCCTCGAGTGGGTGGAATGTCACCTGCGTTGTTGCCGTTACCTGCCGTCAAGTCGACATCTGACTCGCGGCAACTGCTGGTCCTGCGCCATCCCCATGATTGGATGCAGATCAGACCGTTGTGATCCATAGGGTTGTAACTGGCTGATTTTCGGAAGTGGATCTCCAGGCCTTTCTTCCTATTCTTAGGCTGGAAGCTCTGTTGAGCCCAGTTCAGCATCACAGCAACACACAAACCTGCACCGTCAGATGGGTGGTGGCTACGCATGAAGCGCATGGAAGACGAGAATCCTACCACTGAACCACCACTGCCCCTAATATGTTGCCTGTAATGTCCCTAAACTCCAGCGATATAGGCATCCATTTCTCCCGTTCTGAGAAAGACCATCGAATGCCAGGGGGTAACAGAGGGAATCTTTGAATAATAGACAAATATTCCTTCTGTTAACTCCTGCCAACAACGACCGAGGGAACTGATAAGGCCTTCCAGGATCTGGCCCTGGTTGGGGGGGCTGTTTCTTAGTTATCTGGTGCTGCTGTAACACAAATACCACCAAGTGGGTGGAGTTAACAGAAATTTATTTTCTCACAGTTTAGGAGGCTTGCTGTTTTTAGGTGCCATGGAGTCGCTTCCCGGTGCACAGCAGAACTACAGGCTGCCCGGTCCCGCGCCACGCTCACAACTGTTGCTACATTTGAGCCCACTATTGCAGCCACTGTTGCATCGGGTTGAGGGTCTTCCTCTTTTTCGCTGATCCTCCACTTTACCAAGCATGAGGCCCTTCTCCAGGGACTGGTCTCTCCTGATAACATGTCCAAAGTACGTGAGCATTCTGGCTGTACTTCTTCCGAGACGGATTTATTCATTCTTCTGGCAGTCCATGGTACATTCAATATTCTTCACCAACACCATAATTCAAAGGCAACAATTCTTCTTCCGTCTTCTTTATTCACTGTCCAGCTTTCACATGCATATGAGGTGACTAAAAACACCATGGCTTGGGTCAAGTGCACCTTAGTCCTCAAAGTGACGTATTTGCTTTTTAACACTTTAAAGAGGTCTTTGGCAGCAGATTTGCCCAATGCAATATGTCATTTGATTTCTTGACTGCTGCTTCCATGGGCGTTGATTGTGGATCCAAGTAAAATGAAATCCTTGACAACTTCAATCTTTTTTCCCTTTATCATGATGTTGCTTATGGGTCCAGTTGTGAGGATT